TTTTTTTTTAAAGTAAGAGTATTGGTTTTTGGAGTATCTGGCTCCTGGATTTGAATTCTTACTCTGTAATGTATAAGTTAATTATTTACTTGTTCTTGAGCAAGCTGAGCATAATAATACCTACATATTTTAGGGTTGCGTGTAAGAATTAAGTGGATAATGAATGTACAATGGTGGAACTGAGGACCTGATGTAGCACAAGCATCAATGAATATGTAGCTGTTTATGGGTGAAAATGATGGTGGAGGATAATGATGATTCCTTGGGTTCCTGGATTGAAGCCTATTCCTTCCTGATTCTCCTTTGCATTTTATATGACGTTGGCAAACACAACAGAGAGATAGAGTTAAAGGGAGGCAATTAGAAGCAAAATGTTTAATTGATTTGAAGCAATGAGGGCTTATAGGCAAATAGAGGTGGTGGCAAGTCACTACCATTGTTGGGCATGATATACTTCCAAAGGCGAATCATGACTTTATAGAGATAAGTTTGGTTTCATGGAAAAAGCCTTGAACGTGTCATTAGTTTCTTTAATTGTTAATTCGAGTTTCATTAATTAAAGTAAACACCTAAAACAGTGCCATAGTAACAGAAGAGTCAATAAAAATGTTTCTGTCATTGCAGTGCAATTACATCATACCTTTATTCTATTTCTTCATCCAACAATTGAATTTGGCGAATGAGAGCCACTAGCTGCTTAGTTTTCCTATGGTTAGACTGGTGGTTACAGGATGAACATAGATAAAACAGAGCCTTTTGCACTATGAAGAATAGTTCTAGTGAGGAGGAGATCTGCTATTCATTGGCCCATGGTCCCTAAGCCCTTTCGGGTTTCTTTAATATCTTACATCATGTAAATTAAAAGCGAAATTCAGGGCCAAGGCGTAGGTAGCTTACAACTATAATTTCAAGCTGGGAGACCAAGGACAGGCGCAGGATCTCTTGAGAGCCAGGAGTATCAAGACCAGGCCTGGGGCAACAATAGCTGTGAGGAGACTTAAAAACAAAAAAATTAGCCAGCTATAGTGTGGCTAATTTTTCAACTATCTGGGAATAGTTCCAACTATCTGGGAAACTAAGGTGGGAGAATTGCTTGACTCAGGAGTTCAAGGCTACAGTGAGTTATGATTGCACTCCAGCAGTGGGCTGGAGTGACACTCCGTGTCTCTAAATAAAAAAAAAAAAAAAGGAAAGAAGAAAGAAAGAAGAAAAGAAAACAATGTAAAAAAAATTAAGCTTTAAAATTTCAGGATAGTATCATCTTATGATACTATTTACTTGACTGACTAGATGCACATTATTTGTTTATTTATTCATTCACTCAGCAAATGCTTGTTGATGCCTGCTATGTGTAGGCACTGTGCTAGGTGCTAGGGATACAGTACTAGCCAGAGCAGACATGAGGTCTGCCCTCATGGAGCATTAATTACAACCTGTGAGGTACATGTTGACTAGGTGATTGTGAATGTGATTAGTTGTATAAAGGGCAAAATGTGAGTTTTGTTGAACAGAAACTAAAAATGTTTGTTATTTTTGATAGAAAGCATGTGATAAAACATTTATCCAGCTTGCTTTTTCCTCCTATTTTATGAGTTTACGTCTTCTTGTCTGCTTAAACAGGAGCAGTTGGACATCATGGAGACAACTTAGTAGAGAAGATCATTTCAGCACTTCCCCAGCTCCCAGGCCACACAAATGATGTGATGGTTAACATGATAGAGCTCACTGCACTCCAAACTGAGGAGGAAAATTGTAATGTGGTTGCACCAGGCTGTCTTGCACAATCCAAGTAAGATATGTAGTTTTTGTCCTTTTATCTTTCTCTATCTTGCCCTTTCTTTTTCTCCTAGATTGAGTATTCCCATAGAAAAAAAATGAAGAGTTGGTCTGGTTGAAAATTTCACAGTTGGTAGCATTTAGCAAAAAGCATTTTTTCTTAATTTTGAAATAACCATATCCACTAAACATAACAATAACCCAGAAAGTATGGAATTTTATAGAAGTGTCATTTACATGTAATGTTAGCTTGTTCCCAGGATTGGTTAAGTGAGTCAGTTTATGTATCTGCATTTCACAGATAGTTTCACATGGAATTGAGTCTAGTCTTCCTCAGTTTCTTTTTCCCAATTGACTTTTTCACATCACTAAAAAGCAACTCAAACAACTCAACCATGCCATCTTTTTATATTAGATGATATGCCTGTGGATATCAACAGAAGTTTTTATTTCTAAGTACATTTTTTTCGCACACTTAGAGAAATCAAAGAGAGAAGATTATGTACGTTAAGTTATGCAGAGTTTAAAAAATAAAAATTTCTCCAGAAATGACAATAAAAATATATGGTAGTCACCTTCTCAACTTTGTCCTTCATTAACAATTCTTATGGGAATTACTCTCATTTGAAAAAATAAAAGTATTAGAAGGGAATAAAGTATGTAAGTGTATCTGTTTCTTTTATTTTCATGTTCTATATTTTTAAATAAAACAATATCTTTCAGTATTATAGTTTTAAATCTTCACAGTAGCAGATGCATTTGGAATTTCCTCCCATATTTATTAATATAATTCGTATATGTAGCTCCTGAAGTTTTTAGCCTTTTTGTAATAGTTAACAGTACTTATTGGATACCCAATGTTTGTGGGTCAATGTGGGAAGAAAATGGGACGTTCTAGACTTTTGTCTATTTTGTGTGTTTACACATACAATAAAAACATAGGCCTAAAGACTTGCAGCTCTACATACCCAGAAGTAATGTGATTGGAAACATATTTAGCTGTTCAGAGAGCCATTCAGAGGTTAATTATTAAGGATTTACTGTGAGCTTTACTCTAGGTTAACTAACAAGAAGGACATAAAATAATATATTATTCTTCGAACACTCTTTTTGTTGGGGAGTCATGATTTATACCCGATCATAATTTGAAAACAATAGAAATGATTTGAAGTCAAGATTAATGTATCTGCTATAGAGTATAATGTCTACAAGTAAAGTATCAAGTTAATATGGTCTTTGTAGATCAATGTAGACCTTGAGGAAGTGGCAGTGCTTTAAGTCTTGAATGACTTAGAAAAGAGGAGGGGGTTGATGTGAACCAAAGGATATAAACAAAAAATGGTCAGGGCCCGATGTCAATGAGAGATGACCTCATTGGACCACTTCTGTCATCTGCTCTGTTCACATTTTTTGGGTTATGAGGAGCTGGGTACACTTCCAAGCATTTTACATTTGGGAAATCATTTTAAGTTTTGCAGTGTCCTAATGAGGTAGATTTTATTATTCCCCTATTTTATAGGTAAGGAAACTGAGGCAAAGATATACTAAGTAACAGAGTTAGTGGGAGGTAGAGCTAGAAATGAGTCCAGAATGTTTGATTTTAGGCCAGGCGCAATGGCTCATGCCTGTAATCCCAGCACTTTGGGAGGCCGAGGCTGGTGGATCACCTGAGGTCAGGAGTTTGAAACCAACATGGTCAATGTGGTGAAACCCTGTCTCTACTAAAAATATAAAAATTAGCCGGGCATGGTGGCAGGCACCTGTAATCCCAGCTACTCAGGAGGCTGAGGCACAAGAATATCTTGAACCCGGGAGGCGGAGGTTGCAGTGAACCGAGATCGTGCCATAGCACTCGAGCCTGGGCAACAGAATGAGACTCTATCTCAGGGAAAAAGAAAAAAAGTTTGACTTTAGAGCCACTGTCTTAACTTCTATGCTATCTATGTGAAGGATCCAGAGAAGAGGTAGGCTCTTGAATAGATTTAAAGAGATGAGAGACAAAAATAAAGTTACTCTTTGAGTTAATTTCTGAGTCCTATGTTTTCAACATAGTGATTATACAAACAATGGAAATCAATTTTGGCTAATTTAAGCAATAAAGGGTTATTAAAGGGTATTGGGTAGCTAAAAGAGTGAAAGGAAGGATTATTAATCAGATTTTCGAAAGGACAAAATAGTTCCAGGAATGTAGGAAGCAGAGGCTCAGGAAAAGCCTCTTTAAGGCATTGACATTAGAGAGACTGAAATTTAACTGTTTTCTTCAAGTCCTTCATAAGATTCAGATTCTGGGGGAAATGTTAAGATTGGATTTTCTTGGCCTTTGTGCCCACCTTTTGCTCAGTGTGGGTTGGGAGCTCTTTATACTGACTAGAATTACACTAATATCATATGGCATGGCAGAAGGGTGGTTCTTCAAAGGAAAATGGAAACACTTATCAGAAGATGGGGGAACAGATACTGGACATGCAAAAGTAGTAGATGCCCCTTAATACTAGCACACACTTATAGAGGACTTTTTGTATAACAGGCATCATTCTGAGCACTTAGTATGTATTAACTTATGTACTTCTCACGATATCTCTACGAGGTGGATTCTCTTAATGTCCCCCTTTATAGAAGAGGAAGGGACTTAAATAACATGCCTAAGGTAACGCATGCAGTTAGACGTGGTGGAGGCCTATATTTGAACCCAGGCAGCATGGCTCTAAAATTAGTGTTTACCGTTACCCTATGCCACTTCCACAGAAACCTAAAGTAATTACAAAAAGAATAAGTAAGCTCCCCAGAGGAGTTTGCAAAAAGAAAGAAGAGTTGAGTCTGTCATTGGACAGCAGGTAAAGAAGCAAATTCTTAGAAGTGTAGTAGAACAAACATAGGTATAAAAGTATCTCAGTCCTATAAGTAATATTTTGATTATAGTCACTCTGTTTAACCTTGACTCAGCACTGATTCTATTACAAGCTGAGACCAAAGCTAAGCCAATCTTGGAATCTCATTTCCCTTGGCAGTGATGCTTTAGAAATGGGCAAGTGATAAGAGAGAAAGTCTTAGGGCTTCTTGGTCAGGTTTCTTTGCTACTGACAAGAGACTCAATAGAAACGTGTCCATTTTTATTCTTCCAGATGTGACCAATATGTCAGAGATATTGAGTCTGATAACTGCTGCAGCTATCTTGCTCACATCTGCAAGTTAATGCTAACACGTGAAAGGTGGCCTTGCCAAGAGAACTACAGAGAGGAGCAGCTATAAGCTCCTTGATGCACGATGTTTGGACATCATGTTGTATGGGAGAATATATTTCCTATTGTTTAAGCCAAATTTAGTTGCTGTTTTCTATCACTTGTAGACAAAGTCTTCATGACACATTTTTTACACCTCATTATTTCATCTTATAAAATAAGGGCATTGGCCTAAATGACTCCTAAGGCTTTTCTTGGGTTTAAAATAAAATTCCTTCCTAACTGAGCCCCTGCTGTGACTCAGCTCTGCCTCTCACTTAGGCTATGTTCATGTATACATATTTTGTCTCCGTGGTCTTTGCCTTCATTGGTTGTCCTTTTCTTCTCATTAGACTATGAATGAATGTTATCATAGAATATCATAGAATTTGAGTGTGCCATTCAAAAATCACACCTGTAATCCCAGCACTCTGGGAGGCCAAGGTTGGTGGAACACTTGAGGTCAGGAGTTTGAGACCAGCCTGGTCAACATGGTGAAACCCCATCTCTACTTAAAAAAAAAAACAAAAACAAAAATTAGCCAGGCATGGTGGCACATGCCTGTAATCCCAGCTACTCAGGAAGCTGAGGCAGAAGAAGAATCACATGAATCTGGGAGGTGGAGGTTGCACTGAGCCAAGATTGGGCCATAGCACTGCAGCCTGGGCAATAGAGTGAGACCCTGTCTCAAAAAAAAAAAAAAAAAAAAAAAAAAGGGAGTATGGTCTTAAGTGTCAAAGATAAGTCTAGAGGGATATAAACAAAGAAGAAAGCTTTAGAGACAGCAAGTTCGGTGAAGTAGTGAAACTGGAAGTCAGGTTGTAAAAGATAAAGCAATAGGCGGTAAGAAAATTATAAACAAATAGAGGTCTAAAGCAATAATTGGGAGAAAAATAGTAGTTTTTTTTCAATTGCTTGGAAGACTGAGGGAATTATGTTGATTAATTTATCTGCAAAAGAAGAACTGAAATAAATCACAGCTTTCCTAGCATAATTTATATGTCTATCAAAACAATAATAACTACTACCTTCGACCACACCTACCAGAAACTTCTCAATGAAATGAGAGTAAGGATAAAAAAGTTAGTACTGAAAGGCAAAACAAATGGGTGCTTGGCAACAAATATGCCTACAATGGAAAAATCTTTAAAAAGCAATGAGCTTTGATAGTCAAAATTTATTTGCTAAGATAATTTTTATAAAAGGCTGTTTAGAATTATAGCAATTGAAGTTACTGCCAATGCAAATGAGAAACTGAGAATTTAAAATGCATTTTAACATGGACTTCCAGTCCTTGTCTATTATTCTCTGGATTATGTGGAATATTTCAACAAGAAGTAGGCAGAATCTTTTCTGCTTTTATATTTTCCTCCTGTTGAAATGGGTTTTTATTCTGTGCCCCGGCTCCACTATCTCTAACCGTTTTTAGGTCCTTAAACAACCTTCACCTGATGACCTACTTGCATTTACTACATCTGCGCTTGGCGCTCCTGGCTCTGCGCTAACCCTGCACCTGCAGTGCTGCTGGTTCTGTTGGGTTCAGTATCTGCCTCTCCCATTGCTCCCTGCATGCCTCCCTGTGAAAGCCAAGACCTCACAATGGCCTACAATATTATGTGCCATCTAGCTTCCTGGTGCTCTCTGACTGCATCTCTTCTTTTCTTCTTTCCAGCCACATAAGCTTCCTTGCTGTTCTTCCAATAGGACGGGCTAGGTCCTGCCTCAGGGCTTTGGCTCTTATGCCCCACCCAGACCATTCTTCCTACAGATATACACTTAAGCCCATTTCCCTTTT